TCAGCTTCAACTTCTGATATCTCTAGGAAGCTTAGCCAAATGGGTCAGGAATCAGGATGCTGGAGAAAAGCCCATCATCTACTAGGAGGTTTTGCATGCATTTGCCTCACCTGTAGTGCCCTGTATTTGATCCCTAAGATATATAATATAGGGATCATTTATAAAGCTCAATAAGCAAATATGAAATAGTCCATCTTACATAATTAACTTTGGATAGAACGTTTTAGGCTAATCTGTGTAAACAATAACACACATTTCACATTATAATTGTATTGTAAATTGTTGTATTGTATAATTTTTTGTAAATTATTAAATTTTAATAATTTAAAAATTAACAATTAAATAAATAATTGTTATAAAACAATTATATTAATTATATTATTTAAAGACCCGCCCAGTCCAAGAACTAACTTTAATTGTGGAAATTCAGCTGCGATTCAGCAAGGCTGGGACACAAAGACTATCTAGATCAGCGAATCTTTTTTGGCTGACGGGCCAAAAGCGGGGGAAGCGCAGGGGGGGGGCGGGGGTGGGGGGGCTGCACCCATAATGAAATGCACAACCCCCAGTGTGCATGCATGCATGACCAGCTCTGCCCCCCATTTTTTGCATGCTTTTTTCATCCTCCCCAGGCTCCAGAGGCTTTATAGGAGCCTGGGGAGGGTAAAAACAGCCTCCCACAGGAGGCCCTCCAGAGCTCCTGAAGCCTCCAGAGTGCAAAAAAACCGGCCCTACGGGCAAATCAGAAATTCAGGAACAGACTTCTGGTTTGCTCATAGGGCCAGTATAAGCTCTCCAGAGCCTTCAGGGGCCTTCCTGGGGCTTCCCTGAAGGCTCCGGAGGATGAAAAACGACCCTACGAGCAAACCGGAAGTCAATTCCAGAACTTCCGGTTTACCCGTAGAGCCAGTTTTTTCCGTTCCAGAGGCTTCAGGGAAGCTCCTGAAGCCTCCGGAGGGCCTCTCGGGGGCAAGGATCGGGGGAGGCTGCTTCTACCCTCCCCAGGCTCTTATAAAGCCTCTGGAGCCTGGGGATGGTGAAAAATGGCCTTTAAAAAAGGCTAAAGTCAGCTGGCCAGTGCGCGCATCTGCACTGGCCAGCTGACAGGACAACACCTTGCGTGCCCTGACAAATGGCTCCGCATGCCACCTGTGGCATACATTCCATAGGTTTGCCATTCCGGATCTAGACCAACACAAATAATAAAATTACAGGTAGTTCTTGGACTGATCTGGTTCCTAAATTATGTTGTTGGGCTTCTGATTGTTCAAATGGAATTGCCTCCAAACATTCTGCCCACAATTCCACTTTTATTTATTTAATTAAACTTATAGTTTCCCACTCCAAAATTCTTTTGAACAAATTCAGGTTCCAGATATTTTTTTCCTGAACTTGAACATACATATAACTAGAAAACTGTTGCAGCTTGGAGTCTAACCTTACACCATAGCTATTTATCAATAAGGGCATATGACCATACATTCCCCCAAAATGATGGAGAAGTTCTGGGAAAGCAGTAGAGCAGCTACCACTGTTCAATCAGCATAGGGAGGCTATTCTTACCTTTTTAATTTTATTTATATTTACATTTATTTTATGAATGTATAGACTGCTTCAGCCAACCACCATATTTATATTCTTCACCTTTTTCTTTCTGCAGGTTTTCTTACACTGAAGCTTCAGATCCTGATGAAGGTAGTACAGCAGGAAATCAGGACATACTGACCAGTCCTTACTTTGAACTGTTGACTTTGGAGAGCCTTCTGTACAAGCTTGTATTTCCTATCACACTTAGAGTAGCTTTGCATGGCTGCTTCCAGTTTGGAGTTCCAGCACCATGTAGAAAGTTCACCAGACATCAAAGGCACAAAGAAGCTTGCCTGGATTCTTGCTTACTATTTGATTGTTTTTACAAATGTAGTCTATGCTGCTCTTGGTATTATCCTCATCTGCAATGCAGATGCACTTAGGTGCAACCAATAAATCTGAGGCAGTTGCATCTGCATACATATTCTATTTCTGTGCAAAGCTTGGGTAGAAACACATTACTTGTAGATTTTGAAAGACCATAAATTTGTTATAGCTATGGTATATTTTGAGGAGCATTTCTGGGTAAAAGAGAACTTTGGATGCTTTTCAGCCTATGAAAAGCTTTACGAAAGAGACATTTTTCAAAGATCTAAGTGCATTTGGTAGGATTCAAGATATTTTTAAACATGACTGGTGTCATTATAGTGGGTTTCCGGCACATCAGGGTGCTATGTTGAGTCACCATTGACATTCCTTCTGATTTGGATGGTATACACTTGGAATATAGTTTTAACAGGATTTTTCAATCACAATGACACCCCACTTTCAGTTACTGTTCCTGGCACTTCAGCAAGTGTTAGTAACTCAAGTGTTAATGTAAAACACTTCAGTGCCATCACATCGGTTGGAAGGAAACTATTGTTCTCTACCTATTCCCCTCCTTGGAAGAGCTCTATAGCTCCCGCTGACTTAAAAATGTTCAAAACATTCTTAAAGATCCATCTTATCCTGGACACCCTTTTTTTAACTATTACCATCTGGCAGATGGTACAGGATAATAAAAACAAGGACAAATAGATTGAAAAACAGTTTCTAGCCCAGGTCAGTAACCATATTGAATTCTACTATATAGTGCAATATTAATGCAGTATCAGGGGTTTTCAATTCAATTGTGTAGAATAGAATAGAATAGAATAGAATAGAATTTTATTATTTGTATGCCGCCCTTCTCCGGGAGGACTCAGGGCAGCGAACAATTCAAAAGGGGAAGAAGGGGAACATAAAAAGATAAAAAATACAAATAATAAAAGTAGACAACAGTCGCACAACCACACAAGTCGAGCGGGGAGGGGAACTCATCAACCCCAGGCCTGCCGGCAAAGCCAGGTTTTGACGGCTTTTCGGAA